ACTGTTTCCTATTTTCGGTTTCGGCCAAGAATTTCCCATTCGGTGCACCCCTAATATATATATATATATATATATGCACAAGGAAAGATTTATTGTGAAAACACTACACACACCCCTAAACTATTTCACCAAAGAACCACAGACAACCATTTCCAGCCATTCCTCCCATCTTTCCTGCCACCGAAACGTAGAGATAAACGCAAACTACATGGGACTTTCACTCATATAAGTGTTCACATACCTGAGGCTGTGCCACAGCAAGGTGGCACCCACCAGGCAGAGGAGAAGATACTGCTTATGACGTCGGGGGGGAAGAGAGTAACGTTTCTCTGCACCTGAAGTAAGTTCAGCACCAGGGACAGGAAGACTCCCACAGAGAACAGCATGGCCCCTCGGATCAGCAAGTTGGTGGTCCTACAATGCAGATGCAAAGCAGTCAGGAGACCGGGTACATTCCTCCACTGTTATGTGTTACACTGCAAACTGATAAACATGACATGAGGCACACAGGGCCTCAAAAGACATTCAGTGTACTGCGTCCAATGCCCAGCAGACTCATACATGTCATATTAAATGTCCCATAGCTATGTTACATATAGCAACAACAAAAAAAAACTAAAATTCTATATTGGATAACAAAAACATATCCATTCCTGTGGTCAACAGGTTCTTCTTCTAAAGGTGAGATTGTGTGGAGAATAAGCTAACCTGTTAGTGATGACTGAAATATAGGGGCCCCGCGAAGGCCCCGGCGTCTGCCCGGGTCCCGACCATTCCTGCTGGCCTCCAGTCCCTGCACTGTTGCTCATGGCTGTCAGTGTTAGGGACATTTATAAGCATAGGTCTGGAAAATATACGCTCGATGACGTCTTTATCCGCCAGTGATTTTAAAGTCCTCCTCTGACATCCCAAACCAAGCTGAAAAACAAGGACAGGCAGAGGATTAAAAATACTTAAAAAGTCCATCCTGAAACACAATTTACATCAGCTATTTTAAATATTCACTTTCTACTTAAGTATCGTACTACTTATATACACAAGTATAAACACATTAGAGATAAAACGTCCAAAGATATTTCTAACAGATAGGGATAGAAAAATACTTACTTTTAGCTAGCTCGCTATCATGGTAAAGAAGTGAAAAATACAGTAATATTTAAAAAATGGTTATACATTTGTTTCTTTGTTTATGGAGGGGGGCCTCATGATTCCTGAGTAACACTGTCCAGCTGACAGAGGGAGCAGGTTCAGCGTGTCCCTTACCTCATGCACGGTGGGGTTAGATAACTGGTCTGCACTCACCTTTAGCCCCAGTCTGTGTCTGGCAATGTAACACACTGTGAACAGTTGTTTGTTTTTAACAAAACTAACTTTACAACTTTAAATGTAGAATAATAACCATCGACGGTGATTCTATAGAAACTAACAGCAACCTGAAGATTTGAGCCAAAACGCTAATCAATAAACGAAGTCAAAAGCATTTACCCGTCTGTCACTAGCAACTCACTTTCGGTAAATACGTCCAAAAGAGGCCACTAAACACCTAAATTACGGTAAAAAGCGTTAACAACAAATAGTTGTGATGACAGCGGATATGCAAAGTTAGTTAGCTTGATGTTAGTTAGCTACTCTCATTATAGGTAGCTAGCTCAACGAAAATGGTCAATATCAGTTACCCGCCTCAGCACGAGCTGTAGGGAAGGTCTTACCTTATGTTGACAGAGACGTTACAATACGATAAGACATTTCACATGACTTTAAACTAAACAATGCTGCAATACGCCAAATATGAATTAGCCTTATGATTCTCTCCTTGTGACTACTTCCGGCTGCCCAAAATGACTGAACTCGCCATGACGCATGACGCATGACGCAACTACGTTACACAAGGCAGACGTATCACATGATTAGAGGTCCATGGATGAACCAATCAAAGACGTTTCAATTCTAACATCTTTGATGAACCTCAAACAGCTGGATAATAATTCATAAATCATTTTATTCAAAATAATAATATTTAAAAATTGTATTGTAAATGTTACATAATAATGACATATTTAACCTGGAAATGAGTTGATTGTACTTTAAATTATGTAGTTTAGAGTATTAATTTGCAGAGAATCAGGCTACTGTGTGTGTTCTTTATAGCATGTGCTTTTTATGACTTATTATATTTTTTTTTTAATTGACAAAACCCTCCAAAAGTTGCATATACACACACACACACACACACACACACACACACACACACACACTTCTGTTACATGTTTGATTTGTTCTTGTGGTCTATTAGATTTACAGAGATGCAGAGGTGAGAAAGTTGCAGTGTGAAGTGGATCACTCTTAATCCTCAATCCCATTTACATTCCGTTTTGTATTCACCATAGGTCTGCTGCTCAAGACCAGGTTTCAGGGATTATAGCCTATCTGGCAACACAATAGTTGGAATTTAAACAGATTTACCGTATTCTTTCATTCCACCATAGTTCAAAGTCAACTTTATCATG